TATCCACTAGACGGTACAGCGGTATGGGGTACAAGGCCGGTGCGGACAATCGGAGGTTGAAGGAGGGTAGAGATGGCTGGGTGAATTAGCGTACCGGCAATTGACGTAACAGATCATAACATACCATTCTGCCCTGACTCTGCTATTGACCCATGCCGAGCTGAGGAGTCGAGAATCCCTCCAATGCTCGCGATTGAGCTTGCAGTTGACCCTCGTCTCAGGGGGTATCTCTGGGGCGGAACGCGGGGGGATTCGAGCTGATTGAGGGAATATTGGGACAACGAAGGTGTGGATGCACCTGAAGCGAGGCTGTCAATCGACTTCCGTGGGCTCGCAGAGGACATCTCGTGATGCCAAGTTGTTGGCGACTCCGACGGCCACCGTGCTATGCTAGACGTCGTTATCTCAACATGACAAGAGGACAACAGTAGAATAGTCCTGGTGGGACCGAGAGCAAGCGTTCCTCCAATGAGTTCCCGCTGCTACTATCTTGGTACCCGAGCGAGACTTCAAACAGGAGTCGCTTAAACATGCAACGTCACCAACTGCGCAAGCACAAGTAATCCAATCTTGGGCAGCCTGCTTTCGGGACCTCAGCATGACAGCCGGCCCAATCGGGTAAGGCTCCAGGCCCCCAAGAGGGGGTCTAGTCCCAGTTGGGGGGAGACGGGGTTACTATTTTTCCGCACTTCTGGGGACGAAGCTCCCCATTACCTTATGCCTAAGGCCAAAACCACTTAACGCGTGTATCAGACGCGACGCGCACCACTCGTGTCCACGCAAAAGTTATTTGCACCTCCTTCAGCGGTGATAGTCAACAATCCACACATTGCCCCCTCGCTCGCCCTCAACCCACCCCTCCCCTCCCCAATTGCTGTCTTCATCATGGACAGGCGTACACCTTATACTCTGAGCGTTCTTGCTCCTAGCACAGATGGTGCAGAAGAGTCCCGCACACAAATTCAGCAGAGGCTACGAGATTTCGTTTTGGAATTTCAGTTGGATAATGCATTTATTTACCGGTACGCCGCCATGACAACCAACAAGCCTGTCGCAAAACTGACTTAATTTACAGAGACCAGCTTCGGCAAAATGTGCTCGTGAAGCAGTATTACTGTGACATTGATATTGCCCACTTGGTCTCTTATAATGAAGAGCTGGCGTACAAGCTCACCACAGAACCCGCAGACATTATCCCCCTTGTGAGTAATTCGGCCATTGGGCATCGACCAGACTGGCTCTGACCATTACTCCTATATTCAGTTCGAAAATGCTCTCCAGCAATGCACTCAGAGAATCGTTTACCCCTCTCAAAGAGACGTAGTGCTCCCATCCCATCAGCTTCTGCTTCACTCGTCTGCAGCACATATCTCCATTCGTGACCTTAATGCGACAAATATCTCCCACCTTGTCCGCATTCCTGGTATTGTTATCGGTGCTTCAACGATTTCATCGAAAGCAACAGTTGTTCACATCCGATGCAAAAACTGCGATCATAGCGAAAATATTCGTGTGGAAGGCGGATTCTCGGGTCTGTCGTTACCCCGGAGATGCGGCCGCCAGCAACAACCCGGTGACGCCCCGGGCGAACAGTGCCCTCTAGATCCTTACGTCGTCTCTCACGAGAAGTGCCAATTCGTCGATCAGCAAGTTCTCAAGCTCCAGGAAGCACCCGACCAGGTCCCAGTGGGTGAGCTACCCAGACATGTTCTCGTTTCAGCAGACCGCTATCTGGCAAATCGCGTTGTACCTGGTTCCCGCTGTACAGTCATGGGTATCTTCTCCATCTATCAATCCAAAGGCAGCAAGAAGGATGGTGCCCCTGCCATTCGTAACCCTTATATGCGGGCGGTAGGCATCAGCACTGACCTGGACCAAACCGTCAAGGGTAGTGCCATTTTCTCGGAAGAAGAAGAGCAGGAATTCCTGGAGCTCAGCCGTCGGCCTGATCTATATGATGCCCTCGCCAGGAGCATTGCTCCCTCTATTTATGGCAACTTTGATATCAAGAAGGCTATTGTCTGTCTGCTCATGGGTGGTTCGAAAAAGATTCTTCCCGACGGCATGAAATTGCGTGGAGATATCAACGTGATGCTTCTTGGTGACCCCGGTACAGCCAAGTCTCAGCTTCTTAAATTCACAGAGAAGGTGTCACCGATCGCCATCTATACTTCCGGTAAAGGTTCATCTGCAGCTGGTCTGACAGCGTCGGTACAGCGAGACCAAGCGACACGCGAGTTCTATCTCGAAGGTGGTGCAATGGTCCTTGCTGATGGTGGTGTTGTGTGTATTGATGAATTCGACAAGATGAGAGATGAAGACCGAGTCGCCATCCACGAAGCTATGGAACAGCAGACTATTTCGATTGCCAAAGCCGGTATTACCACCATCCTCAACTCCAGAACATCAGTTTTGGCCGCCGCAAACCCTATCTTCGGCCGGTACGATGACCTGAAAACTCCTGGCGAGAACATAGATTTTCAGACAACCATTCTGTCTCGTTTCGATATGATTTTCATTGTCCGTGATGATCACGACCGCAGCCGTGATGAGAACATCGCACGCCACGTCATGGGTGTACACATGGGTGGCCGAGGTGTTGAAGAGCAAGTTGAGGCCGAGATTCCGCTAGACAAGATGAAGCGTTATATCAGCTATTGCCGCACGTAAGTTCCTGGCCATCTAACTACCTAAAAACCATCGAGCATCACTAACATATCACTTACAGTCGTTGCGCCCCGCGTCTATCCCCTGAAGCGGCAGAGAAGCTCTCGTCTCATTTCGTCTCGATTAGAAAACAAGTTCACCGCGCAGAGCTCGACGCCAACGCACGTTCTTCTATCCCTATCACAGTCCGTCAACTGGAGGCCATCGTCCGTATTACCGAGTCCCTTGCCAAGCTGAGCTTGTCGCCGATTGCTACGGAGGCACACGTTGACGAGGCCATCCGTCTCTTCTTGGCCTCAACCATGGACGCCATCACTCAGGGCGAGGGCCAGGGTAGCAAGGAGATGATGGAAGAGGTCAGCAAGATTGAAGATGAACTGAAGCGCAGACTCCCCATTGGCTGGAGCACCAGTCTCGCAACTCTTCGCCGCGAGTTCGTTGACGGACGAGGCTACACCGAACAAGCTCTCAACCGGGCTTTGATGGTCCTGCAGCGCAGAGATACTGTGCGTATTCGCTCCGGCGGATCGCAAGTGTACCGTCACGGAGTATAGTTCTCTTTCATCTTTGTTAACTTGATGACTGATGCTCGCATGGAGTGTGTATGGGCTATGGGCAATAATATTTTTTTTTGACTACGGGGAGCATGCATTACCTGATATCACGTCTTAATAGAAACTGGACTCGGGCACAGCGGTTGAACATGGTGTACGGCGTTGTTTTTATTTTAAGATACACAGATGCACAGGTCGGAAATCAAGCAATTTACCATAATTCCATCACATCCCAGTAACCCACGCCACGATATCTATCCACCACCAACGCCCAGTAAAAGAAGCGGTAGTGTTGCAAACGGAGACACTCCAGACTAATCCCACCTCACAAAGAATCGCACTCATCATCAAGCAGATGAAGAGTCTTCAAGAACCTCGAATCAACCATTTGAACAACCCCATCCGCACTATACCTCGCATCCCGCTGCTCAAGCAGCCTAACATGCCGCGCCGCCGCCCTCGACAGCACATCGGCCCGCTTATGCCCAACAATACAAACCTCACAATGCGCCGGCACCCAATAAACCCTCACCTTAACCCCCAACTCAAACAGCTGCCTCGAAAGCCCACAAACATCCCCCGCAATCGCCCCAAACACCGACCTATCAACCTCACCCTCAGACCACCAATTCGCCCACCGCCGAATCATTCTCAACGCACGCATCGAATCCGAAAACACAGTAACAGCATGCTCCTCCATCCCCTCCGCAACAGCTACCCTCTTCCCGATCCGTGTCAGTGCAAGCCTCAACGCAGCCCCAATAGCAAACAACTCCGACATATCCACCCGCTTCTTATCCTTCAGGTCTGTGATCGCATATCCCCGATCCATCCACTCCCCGCCGTAGTAGGGGTCCTTGTATGCAATCGCCGCACCAGCGGAGCCGTGACTCCCACTTGCGTCGACCCAGAAGTTGTGGAAATGGCACTCGCCGTCAGTTAGGGGGACGGTATGGGCGTACTGTGCGGTTGCGATTGCATCTTCGTAGTGCAACGAGATGAGATCTCCGTAGAAGCCGGCCTCGAGCTCGTGGTGGTAGACTTTGTGCTTGGTGATTCTGTGGCATTTGTCTTCGAGCTTGAGGTCTAGTTTCCGGCGCTTTTGCTGCGTGGCCGTTAGAAGTGAGGTTGTCGGGGGTGTTTTTCTCTTGCTCGTGGCTGATTCTGAGGCTTCAAATTCAGTGGTTGCAGGAGCAGTAGCAGTAGTATTAGCAGTAGTATTAGCAGTAGTACTAGGATTTTCTGGGAGACTGGGTGTGTCAGTCTGATCTTGTTCACGGTGGTGGTAGGTGTCAGAAACTGTGACTGGGCGGTCGATGATATGGTATTCGCGGAGGAAAGCGTTCAGCCATCTTAAGGACAGCATATTGGTTTTGACTGGAGTTTTGTGCCTTTTCTGTATGCCCGAAGAGTGTGGTGTGAGCTGGCTGTTCTGTAGAACTCCTGTTGCGGAGGTTCTAAGTGAGAAGGAGAGCATTCCGCACATGGTATTTGTACAGGAAATTTCCTGTTAAGAGTCTTTCATTCACTGATTGAGATGGTTTTTGTGAGGCTGGATATTTAGTCGATGAGTGAATGATTGTGAAAGATCAAGTGGCTGCATGGTATTGGGGTATAGGGGTCTGTACGTAGGGTTTGAGTCAACGGTTACCTAGAATCACGGTCATACTTACATATTTAGACCAAGAGACTAAAGCTAATATAATCTATACAAAGCCATCGATTTGACCCAAGAAGTGAGATAGATAACTTTTAGAGCCAAGATCTCTTTTACATCGGTATTCCGTGATATCTATATTCTAGAAACTCACATCTCATTTCAAAAATATCAACTCCAGCACTACCTACACTTAACACCACCCCTCTAGTCTAACAATACAATTCACTATTCCTGCTTCGCCCCCTCAACAGGCCCCTTCCATGCCTGTCTCTGAGCCGTGAAAAGCTCCTTATCAGGCTGAGAGATCACATCAAACAAAGAAGCCTTCACAATAGCCTTCCCCGGAAAGCTAGGGCTCTCTGTCATAATCGGACTATGCTCATTCTCAGCTTATCATTTCCATAGCAAACCAACAAGAGGGGAGATAGGAAACCAACCTGCCACAATTTGAGCAGAATTTACGCTACGGAGTATCAGTATCAATATGTCAGTGTCATGTTTGGGATAAGTAGATAAAGGGTCAAAAGAGTAGAGAAAAGATGTTTGTACCTGGATGTGATTTCCACTAACTGTGTTCACATCTTCGTATACTTTTAGACTGGCCTGAGGGTCTTGGATGGTGACTTCTTCCTTGTGGAGGACGTAGTTTATAGAGGAGCCTGGCGTGCATGTTATTATTAATTAATGGATTGAACTGACGCTTTCTTTGGGTGTCGGAGTACTGACCACCTCCCGATCTACTACAATTTTGGCTGTGGCTGGATCAGTATATGGATTTTAGTATAGACAGGTAAGTAGTACATACCAGTGGCAAATGAGTGAACTTGGAGGTTGCTGTTCCAGCAGGACGCGGATACGTCCGCATATGCAATGGCCTTCGTAGGGCATGATGTATTCTAGATTTATCCAATCTGTTTTCTGGGAAAGTAATTCTTTGTTTAAGGGTGAGTGGTAAGGTTAAAGTTAAGTCTTCAGTTGGGCCGGCATTCGATTCGGCACTGTTGTATTATAAATGCTCCAGTTGATGATAAATTGTGGAGTGGAGACTACGACCACGAGTTAATGAAGCTTGGACCATAACTCGATGTGGGTTTAGTTGGGATAGGTCGTGGAAAGGTTTTGATAAGAGAGTGCGTGAGAAGAGTTCTAATTGGATTGGAGTCTTGAGTTCATTTCCATGCTTGTATGGAGACGTCGAAGTGCAGTGTATTTATCCATTTTTTCGTAATGGTAACTCCAAGCTGAGGGCAAGTCCAACCTACGGGCAAGTCTAGCCTCAGTGCAAGGAGAATGGTTGATAGGTAGGTGTTTCTATTTCGACTTTAATTGGATATACTTCAAGAAAGCCTTTGGTCCTCGGCTTCTACTTGTTTACTTCCGAAATAGCGGATTAGTATGACTGCCCTATAATAGATAGTCTTACGAACAGACCTATGACGATCTATATGGAGGAGCTGGGAGTCTTTATATATTGCTGAGACTGGAGCGTACAAGCTATACAATACTCATAGAAAATTTACTATTTCCGACCATGCTCATCATGACTATAAACTCATGGCTTAGTGATATTTGCCAGAAAATACCTAAATGTTGCTGCTCACAAGTCATAACCTATGGAATTGCTATCTATCACCCAAGGGCAGTCAGTGAGTTGAATGGTTCCAGGCGGAAGACACCCCACCGAACCCCGCGGTCCCAACCGACGTCAACTCTTTTCTCATACCACGTCCACACGACGATACAACCTCGAGATCAATAATATCTACATAATTACTCTAACGATTCACGGAATAATCAGCAATTACTAGACAGCAAGCGAAGCGGAACCCGCTTGCTAGAACGGAGTACGACATTTTACGAACAATTCCCCGCACCCCGCGATTTTCAACCTCCTACCTCTACAGAACGTCACAAATCGTCCGATTCAGCCATAATGGCCCCGACAATCCGCGTCGTCGGCTCTCTCAACGCCGACATGGTCTCGGTGACACCTCGCTTCCCTGAAGCCGGTGAGACGATCACCTCCTCATCATACTTTATTAGCGCTGGAGGCAAGGGCGCGAACCAGGCGGTTGCCTGCGGGCGGCTGTCTCGTGCACGATCAGCCTCGTCTCCATTTTCGGGCAAGGGTTCCGTGAAAGTGGAGATGGTTGGCGCTGTCGGTGGATTGGACGGCCACTTCGATGCATTACTAAAGCCCACCCTCGAGAAATCCGGTGTCGATACGTCGCGGGTCAAGATCGTCGAAGATGCGTATACGGGAGTGGCGGTGATCATTGTGGACTCGTCGGCCGGCGGAGAGAACCGCATTCTGTTCTCGCCTGGAGCGAATTATCAAGGAATGCAGCCTGAGCCGTCAGTGTTGGGAATGGCGATGGCAGCCCCAGTACCGGATGTGATTGTGATGCAGGGAGAGATCCCTGTTGACAGTGTCATCGGGATACTCCGAGACATTGGGGCTTGGAAAGCCAAAAACCGGGCGGAGGGTAAGCGAGGTATTGAGGCCGGCCCTGATGTCATGTTTAACCCTGCGCCTGCTCCACCCGGAGGATTGCCGGAGGATGTGTACGCGACAGTGGACCACTTTATCGTGAACGAGACGGAGGCCGAATTGATGACTCCACCGGTGGAGCAGCTGCTCAAGGTGGTCCCCGATGCGGAGGGACTGAGCGGTAACGACAAGGTGGCTCGGTATTTCCATCAGCTGGGCGTGACGTACGTCCTGATCACGTTGGGGTCGAAGGGTGTCTGGTACAGTGCTACTGATGCCAGGACGTCTGGGCCTGCGGACGGAGTCAACCGCTTTACCAATGAGATTCCCGCCGCTAAGGTCAACCGAGTGTTGGATACCACCGCAGCGGGAGATACTTTTGTCGGCGCATACGCGGTCGGGGTGGCGCGGTGGCGTGAACAACGGCGTGCGGACGGCAAGGCTGGTCAAGATCTAACAAGCGAGGAGAAGCCTGTTCGATATCAGAAGGTCATGGATGACGCCATGGGATTGGCAACACAGGCCTCAGCACGCTGCGTGGAGCGACAAGGAGCCATGGACAGCATTCCATGGGAGGACGAGATCTAATGAGAAACGAAAGCGAAGAGACAATGAAATGTACATTACTGCAGACCATCCAAGGGATTTATCATAGACGAGTTTAGACGGTACGATTGTCCACTAATATCGGAAGACCCGGTATGCAAGAATACGGTAAAGAGAAAAAGAAAAAGTTGGAATGGAGCATTGTAGGAGATAAATTTGAAAAAAGAAAGCACCTCGCCCGTTGACGACCATCAAATAAGTCTTAAAGACTCGAGGGTGAAGTATGGAATGTGCACGGGATTAACCTCCCATACCTCACGTCTGACAGGCGCCCGGCAGTTCATTCCCGCAATGCCAGCCCGAAACCCTAACATCGTGCGCCATCAATTAATCTCGGCGCGTAAGTCGCATGCATATCGCAGTCTAAAAGTTCCAAGGTCCTAATCATCATGGGAAGACAGCGCGAACCCTCGCGGTGTTTCAAGGTAGCTACAGTGACAGTGAAACACAGGCTGAGAGAAGCCGTAAAGAGTCTCAAGGAACCTTAAATTGGAATTAGAGCTGGCCGATCGGTTTCTACTTATAGAATGGGCGCTACGGTTAAGTTAATTAAAGTTGCTTGCTTGTTCGGTTCGTACTCTGTACGACATGGTTTCCTTGTAGCCGCCGTTGGAACGCGCATGAAGGAAGGGGTGGCGTCGTTCATGAAACAGGATTGGGATACGTGTTCGATGCTGGGATACTATGGGAACATGATCATAGTACGCGACTAGATTCATGACTTGCCCAAGTTGCATGGTGAGCTTGAATCGAGGCTTTTGAGTTTAGGGGTCGTGATGGAGAAGACGCGTTGCAGGGATGGTGTCATGAGGTATACTCCGTATCGTATTAGGGCTGGTATCAAGATAAAGCTTAGTATTTTGAATTACCGATTCCTCTGTGCTACTAGTATACTATAGCTAGTATGCGCTATTGTTGGACCCTAAATCTTCTCTGAGGACGTGTATATAACATAACGGTCATAAACGGCTTTACTTTTAGGGCCAACTCAAAAAGTTGTATACTAATTTGTACAGGCTACTATACCCGTAATCCACGAGTCGCCCAGTTATTTGTATAGCCTTTTCTTCTATTTACCCCTCTTGATTCAAAGTAGAAAATGCTATTAATGGGTCGTTCTTTCTGTTGGAGATGACCCCCCGTGCCTGGGAAGCGCAACACGAAAGATTGGCGTGTATCGGGTGGGGAAAGTGAAAATTACCGCATTGCTGATTAGATCGGTAAGGTTACATGATTATCTACCATCGCCGATCTACATCGTGTACCACTTACTAGTGTGGCAATAACTCTACCTATTAGGAGTCAATGACACAATCATACTCAAAAATGGAAAGTATATCGTTGATTTCATGAGTCTTTATACTCGTCATCATTCTCAACAGCTATCGAATCTCAGGGCGTGGAGGGTTCTAGTACCTAACCTTCAACGTGTACCTGGTATGTAAGACTGAATGGGAAAGATGGAAATCCGCGTACCCGACGGACCGAACTGACGCGATTTTCCAGCTGGTTTCGAGGGTCTAGGTCCTATACAAAAGTAGTACGCTACTACTAGTACTACGAGTAAGCAAGTAGCCCTAGTGGGCGGGGGAAACTGAAGTGAGGGGAAGAGCATTGAATTGTGCCTCGTGAGCCAATCCTTACGCGCCTTACAGCCTGAACTGCCAAATCGAGATAGTTAAGCTGATAGACTACGACACGTCTTCACGCGTTTTCGCCCCTCCCTTTCTTCACGAGGTTCTCTTACTCTCCATACTTACATGACTATTGTAATTATAACTATAATTATACTTCTTTAGGGAAATGATGATGATTCAATATTCATTCCTCTTCGAGCCGTACATACTCTGAAACCACGCATCTGCATGTTTCGCGCTCCTCAATTGTCATTCTCATTCCGATACCCTGCCCTCCATTCTTAGCCATTCCACTCCACTTCTCCTACAACCCTTACTGCCATAGCTTTATATCTTGTCTCGATTGCCACTATTGTGACAGTATTCTTCATCCTTTCAATCTCATTCCCCTCATCGTGTTGTTGTTGTGTAATATATCCTTCCTGGACGTGTTGTTTGTTGTGTCTTTTGAAAGGTTCGACACGAACTAGGACTCTAGAGACCCGTCGTCCTTATCCCGACTTTTGACTTCTTTCCTCCCATCCTTGGATATTTCGCGATCGGTTCCATTTGAACCGTTGGGTTGTGTTGATCACGGTAGTACTACCGTACAGTACTAGACCGCCCGTTACCCCCACTTCCCTCGACGCGACCAAAACAAATCCACACCCGCGCAGGCATTTATCACACCTCAGCTCCACGGCAGTCTTCGCTTGCTGCCTGGTTGACTCCCTTTATTACTTCAGCCCTATTGCTCTGCGTCTCAATTGTCTCAGATTTCTCATAATTCGCGTTCAATAACATGGCCGCTCTCACAATGACTCCCACGACCGTGCGGCAGCCCTTTGCGAGCTTGGATGCACCACGCGTGCGACCCTTGCTCAAGTCAAAGATGAACCTTAAGAACCAACAGAATGGTATGTTTTATGGAGTATAGCTATATACCAACACGTACTGACCCGACCATCAGGCGCGATCCTGTCTGGCAAGAGGCAACCCCTCTCGGAGGTGGACACCGAGAACATCGACCCCACAATCTTCAACTCGTCGACAAAACGCAAGCGTGGCTCGGATGAGGACGAGCACGAGCCCCTCAAGAATATTACAAAGCCCATGAAGACCTCACGGATCACGTTGACAACCGTGAAGTCCAACATAGCTCCTCGCATCCCAACCACGCCCCCCAAGACATCCCTGTCTACCCCCAAATCCGCTCCCACTCTGAAACCGGCCGGACGGTCCCCACAGGCCAAACCGTGCAGGCCATTCGCTCGTCGCTCGACCATTGCGAAGAGCCGTCCTGAGCCTGCAAGCAAAAAGAGTGTCAATCGTCCTTTTTCCCTTGCAGCCGCGCTGGCAAGTGGCAAGCCGACGAGCCAACCTGCCACAAAGGCTCCCTCTGGCTGGTCCTTCGACATTTATGTAGATTCAGAACAGGAAGAGATGACCAACCTTATGCAGCACTCTACCTGTGTGCTGGATATCAGTGATGACGAAGGCAAGGGGGAATTGACCACCCGAGGCAAGGAGAATATCCCCCCTGCCGAACTCGGAATCGACCTTCCTCGCTCTCGCCAACGGGAATCTCCCGCTGCTGCCGCCCGCAAGTCCGACATGATGGAAGAATCTCGGGCTCCCCTTGGCGACCTGGATGCTGCCGACTATTATGGCGAAGACTGCCACGCTTTCTCTTATGCCATCGTCTATGACGATGAGGAAAACGATGCCACTCCCGCCAAAAAGACCCCTCTTCCCACCTTAACTCGATCCTGTCGTCACAGCCGTAGCAAACTCTCCAGCGTCTCCTCTATCTCATCTTTACTTGAAGCGACCACACCTGATAAGCAGGTCGAGGACGCCAAGTCCAGACCATCGGAGGCGGAAGTTGAGGTCTGGGAGAGTGGAAGCGCTGTGGAGGAATCTGCTTAAGACACAATGAAGCCGACTAAATCGGCCTTGTGATCATAATTCCATCATCATTCATCATTCCTTTTAATACGGCGTACAGTGGAAAACGGAGTTGGGGTTTTAGCACTTGGATTTTTTTTTTTTTTTTTGCATTGTTATATTCAATACCCTTTTGGATTACTTTCATTTTTTTTTGTCTATATTATTATCTCTGGTCTTGATGACCAGCCGACTGTGACTTGTTCCAGCTCTCATTTGTTCCTACTGAATAACTACGCACAGAAGAGTGCAAACTCCGTCCTTTCTACAATGTCTTGACTAGTATAATATTTCTTATCTCGTTGGCTTTATCTGGCTTTATATCTATCATTCCGTTGAACGATGCTATGCCTGTGCTTATGAGCGAGAACGTGTCACGTCTCTGATGTCTTATGATGTACATACATCCAGCTAAACAATTGAATAAGTTTAATTAAGTGTGTGTGTGCTTTTGATAAAAGCCAACATGAATGTTTCAAGTATAATCATCGCCGACTTCCTGACTTGCGCTGAGGTCTCAGTTCCTCGATCTCCTCTCCCCCGTCCGATTCTCCCAGGTCATCATTTCCGTCATCATCTCCACCAGTTGTAGCGGCTTCCATAACCTCATCCACAGCTGCTTCTAAAATCTCCTGCTTCTCAATAGCCTCCTCTTCACCTTCACTCTCCTCCTCGCCCGCCGTATCCCGCCACTGCACTCGCCGACCCGCAGCACCCTTCCCACGCTTCGCCGTCGCATCCTGCTCCTGTCCCTGATTCGTCGACTCCCTCCACGACGGCGTCCCCTTAATCATCGCCCGAATCTCCGTCGCCATAGTCAGTTCCTTGGTCGATACAACGCTAGCATCCAGCGTAAACGCCGTATTGACATTCTCCGGCGTCGCATAATCCGGGAAACGTAGAATCCGCGCAAAGTCCTGATCATCGGGAATCCGCTCCTCAATGAGCCCGAGGATCTTATGACGCATGATCAGTTTCAGTTTCGCGAGCGTCCCACTCCCATACCACCCATCGCTGACTGTGTCGCATGTCTCGCGGATAAACTCGGGCGCCTCTTCCTCCGGGAACACGATATTTCTCAGCAGAGGATCGGTGATATCGCAGAACATCCACATCCGGCCGTCGAGCGGTAGTGGCAGCTGGCCTTTGAAGATGTGCGTATCTGATTTCAGATCGGTAGAGGGATCCACCGGGACCGGTTCGTTGAGTCGGGGCACCGCGTGACGGCGTCCCGCGTAGCCGTCGCGCGCGACATCCGCTTCCTTGGGCAGGATTCGGAACATGACTGTTTGGTAGGCACGGTAGTCTGGGGATGTGCGCGGGTCGTGCCCGAATTTGATGATTGCGTCGCGCCAGGGTCCGGACCGCATGATGTAGCCTACGTAGGGGATTGCGTGCCGGAGGGCGTATCGCTGTTCGATTGTGCTGAGGTTGTTGCGGAGTCCGCGACGGGTCCAGGCTGGCCGCTTGTCGAAGAGGTCTCGGATGATGGATACTGTTTCTCGGAGGGTGGCGTCTTGGGTTTCTAGGGGTGGGGTGTTTTCGTTTGGTTTGCTGGGTACTTCCGGGACGTCGTAGGAGACTAAGTGCGTTAGGACTTTTGTGGGCTTTTGTGTGTTGACTGTTGTTATGTTGCCTGATGAGTCGATCGATTGGCGGACTGCTTGGTTTTGCCGGTAACTGTTTTTGGGAGGAGTTAGGATGGTTATAGATTGGCTTGATTGCTGTGGTGGTGACTTACGCGTAGGTGAATGGGATGTCTCCCTGGCTGAAAGATGGAGGTGGGATGATATCGACATGTGATGATATGCCTTTTGCCATGTCCAGATTGAATTGCTTCATCTTCTCATCTATGATACCATTAGTTTCAACACCGCTAGACCGAAGATATAGGACAAAACAAACAATCAAAAGGCAGAATCTGCTCCCGAAACCGATTGGCGAAGGAACTACCGGTACTTGAGAAGACAAAGTCCGGCATCCCTATACAGCCCTATTAGCATTGACTTGTTCACAATCCTACAGTTCAGGGAAAAGTGAAGCTATAACCAACCTCGAAACACATGCGTCCGGTTCACAAGACCGACCGGCTCAATCTGATATCTGCCAACATTGTCGCGCAAGCTCCGCATGAGCTCCTTTGCGCTGCGCCGAGGCTGAAACTCAGGGCCAAGCGTCGAGACGGGGACACCCGTGAACGGCTCATCTGATCCTCTCTTACGCTTACGACCGGTCCGTCTGGGCACGGTCACCTTTAGGAGGATGTTGTTAGATGGCAAGCTGGTTGATTGGACAGGTCTTGACATTGCATCCTCTGGTCGAAGGTGGAGATGAGCCGGGGTATCGGCTTTTGGAGGGTTTAGGATCTGGTATTCGTGAGCGTGATATTTTGAGATAAGCCATTTTATGGTGGGGGGGAGGGGGGAGGTTGATGTCAGGGCCCTATGGGTGTGGGTATACGTACCTTGGAGATCCCCGTGCTACCCTGGAGTGTGTCGATGGCTTTATCGACATTCTTGATAATTGCCGGGTGCTCAACAGTGACGATGCGACGAGACGGGATGGGATAGAATGGGGCTGTCCTAGGCCCAGGTTGTTCGGACATGTTGAGGGTTGTGATGTAATAATCAGCAAAGCCTGGTTTGGTTGGGTTAAGCTTAGACTATGAGAAGTTATTGATACTGAGTGGTTGTTGGTGTAGTTAAAAAAAAGTATAGATGTATATTTAAGATGATTTGCGCCAGTAGGAGGGCTAAACTGCCATTGACGTCAGAACGTAAGATGTTGTTTTCGGGGAAATGTGTTGAATGGCTTCATATGTAACCCGAGGCACAATATCCAAGTGATGTCATTCCTGGTGAACTCCAGAGGATGTATTGATACCTCTTTTGTATGTACATGTAGTTACGTTGATTGACTTGCTTCTTTCTATGAGGGTGAATAATCTTGGCTCGTGGTCACATGATCTCCACCGGTTTTTTTTTTTCCTGGGACTTGGTGTTTCGAGTACCAGTTGCGAAGATGGAGACACAGAAAAGAACAAAATTATACAACTGTATGAGGCATATTATGAGAATGTCTTAAAATAAAAGATGATTAAGGGTAAAAAAATTTATTTGATCATGGGGTTAGCCAATATACTGTTGTTTTATATTTTGGTCATTTTTCAGTACCCGTCCCTTGCCTTATGTACAGTATGTACCTGTCCTCAGGCACAGAGGTTGCCCGTACCTATAATAGTAACCGGTAGTGGAAATAATAAGCATAAATGTGAAACAGTCATAAGATACCAACCGATGTGATGTGATAGCCGTGGACACCAGGGTAAAATAGGAGCAAAGAGGAAGAGATCTTGTGCTTTAGTTACTGAATAGTTTCTAAAGATCTGGAAGAATTTCTATTGTATACACTAAGTTTTAACTATATCTACGCGAAGTTGACTGATACCTACTGGTGTGTGTTCCCCTTTACTGGAGTTTACCGCAGTTGGTTGTACTATTGTATGTATGGGACTAAGTCAGTCCCACGGCTTCCCTCCACCACACGTCTGAGCGCACCTCGCCCTCCTCAGCCACAGCACCCCCCCGTCAGACCTTCAGTCCCTCTTCCTCATTAAACAATCTACTATATCAACCGGCCCTTCTCCTTGGTCCTATTTCAATTGCACAAAATCCTTTTAAACCGCATTGTGTAGGCGACAATCGTGCTGTGCGTCTTAGTACCTATACGGGGACTCTTCTCCCACACCCCCGCTTCTCACCTAGCCGCTAAGCGACAGCCAACGGAAAGGCGATTCGATCGTCTACGGACCGACTAACTGCCTAAGTTGCTCCTATACCGCTCAGTTCGCGCCTAAGGAAACAGCGTGAGAGCGACTGAACATCTCCCCCTTCCACTCGTCCCAGTTTGATCCCACTGAGGTAAGTCATGCAGCAATAGTTTCCTGTTCTTCTTGCGCGTCTAGAACCACTCTTTTGTTTGTCCCCATCCCCTTCCGGTTCCCATCTATTATGTTCGTTGTCCTACCGTCTCCTTCACCCCAAGTTGTTCCCTTTGCTGCCCCCCTCGGTCCTTCTACACGGTCTCTATTAGTCCACGCCAGTTGGTGTTGCGACGTCTATCCATTACTGCCATAATTGCTTCTGCAATCAGAACAAGAACAGACCCTTATCGCAATCGATTGCTATGTTTAATTGCGTTGGGGTTGGAATCGCTCATGTGGTCATTTCCAGGCCGACATAAACAATCCGGGTCTCCTGAACCGCCTCCACGCTGCCCAACTACATCCCCTCCTGCTAGTGTGCGGCATCTTGCTGCACTGGCATCGAGATCGCCGACCGAGTACATGTGGCTGTTCGAATATCTGCGACAATGAAGGGTTTCAGACAGAGAGTGGTAAGTTGATACACTTCGTCGCCGGGCCTTTGTCTTTTCCGCCCTGACCTCGCTCCCCGCCTCAACATTACGGCAGCTGTTGGTCACCCTACTCCCAGCTAACCGTCCCAGCACGAGCAGTTGTCGAGGGCCAAAGATGCAAATAAATCTTCGAAGAAGAAAGATTCCTCCCACTCCGCGTCCCAGAACCAAGCCTCCCTCGGAGTCAACCACAATCAGCAATCCTCCTCTCCAAAGAACGGCACCCCGACTTCGTCGACAACTTCGGTGAATGATACAAGAGGGAAGTCTCCGGACAATGCTGCGCAGGCGGGGGTGTACCCCCCAGGTCAGTACTATGTTCCTCAGGGCGCAGGCGTCGCTGGTCAGCCAGTAAATAATGGTGGTCCAGCAACTCCAACGAAACAAGGGCAAGGGCAAGTGCCGGCCCCCAGCGTGATCATCAGTCCGAGCGCACCGGTGAGCCCTTTTTTCCATTCCCGCCTACGTCTCTGGGTCAAGGCGACCTAGTAGCCCCCCCCTTCCCCCCGGCGTTCGCTCATTGCGCTGACCCTTGGCCCGTGTTCTAGCATGTCCCTCCCCCTGGCGCCGCCGAAACGATGCCGGGAGACCTGGCCCCTCCCAGAAAGTCCCATGTCTTCGACCGCCTCCAGACAACGCCCAAAGATATGTCCGAAGGAATCCGGACCCCCAAACGTCAGCATTCGTCGCGGTTTGATATCTCGGATCAACGCCAAAGAGAGTTGGAGAAGTTGCCGGGATTCCATGAAGTGCCACCCAACCGGCGTCAGGAGCTGTTCATGCAGAAAATTGATCAATGCAACATCATCTTTGATTTTAACGACCCGACTGCCGACATGAAGTCAAAGGAGATTAAGAGGCTGGCGCTCCACGAACTCCTGGATTATGTCGCAAATAACCGGTCGGTGATCACGGAACCCATGTATCCCCGAGTCGTCGAGATGTTCGCTAAGAACCTCTTTCGCCCCATCCCGCCTCCCGTGACACCTCAAGGGGAGGCCTTTGACCCGGAAGAGGATGAACCTGTTTTGGAAGTGGCTTGGCCCCATATCCAGGTGGTTTATGAGTTCTTCTTACGGTTCATCGAGAGTCAAGATTTCAACACGAACATCGCCAAGGCTTATATCGACCATCATTTTGTATTACAGGTATGTCGCCTAGACGGTTAGCACTGTGCAATTGCAGAATGAGCCCTATGAGCTGACACTTGCACAGTTACTGGAGTTGTTTGACTCCGAAGACCCTCGGGAACGGGATTTCCTGAAAACTACCTTGCACCGCATTTATGGAAAATTTCTGAATCTGCGGTCTTATATTCGCCGGTCTATCAACAACGTGTTCTTCCAATTCACTTATGAGACAGAGCGATTCAACGGAATTGCGGAGCTGCTTGAAATTCTCGGATCTATCATCAACGGATTTGCACTCCCGCTGAAGGAGGAACACAAACTCTTCCTCACGAGGGTTTTGCTGCCTTTGCACAAAGCTAAAGGTCTCAGCATGTACCACCCACAGCTGGCGTATTGTATTGTACAGTTCCTCGAGAAGGACTCATCGTTGACGGAAGAGGTGAGACCCCTGCTCATATCCCTTTTAATTTTGGTTAGCCAGACTCTGAACTTGTATTTAGGTTGTTCTCGGCTTACTACGCTATTGGCCGAAGGTCAACAGCACGAAGGAAGTAATGTATTTGAACGAAGTAGAGGATATCTTCGAGGTTATGGACCCAGCGGAATTTGCCAAGGTCCAGGTGCCCTTGTTCCAACAACTGGCGAAATCGGTTGCAAGCCCCCATTTTCAGGTGTGTACCATCATCGCTTGCCTAATTTACAGTTCTAATACGTACTCTGGCAGGTGGCGGAACGTGCTCTCTACTTCTGGAACAACGAATACTTTTGCAACTTGGTCAGCGATAATGTGGAGACTATCTTACCGATCATGTTCCCGCCGCTGTACGAGAACTCGAAAGGGCACTGGAATCGGTAGGTTACTCACTGACTAGCCGTCCCTTATCGAGATTGCTGACTCGTAGACAGCACAATCCACAGCATGGTATATAACGCCATGAAGATGTTCATGGAAATCAATCCGCAGCTTTTCGACGAATGCTCGCATGAGTATAACGAGCGGCAGAACAGTGCCGAGGAGCGTGAAAGATCCCGAAAGGAGAGATGGGAAAAGCTGGCGGCGCAGGCCAAAGACCGGCAGAACGGTGTTCCTCCACCACCGCCACCAGCGGACATTCCTGTTTATGTAGACGAGGTTGACACTATCACTGAGGATAGTCAGAATCGTCTCCAATCTTTGAAGTTGGATGACTCGGGCTCAGTGAAGGAACGACGGAGTTCAACGGTTAGTCTCCATGCATGAGTGTTCGTGGAATCATGCTTTGACATGACCTTGTCTGCACCTCGACGAATCTTTCCCCCCTGCTTTTGTCGTTATCGTTTTGCTAAGATTTTGTCGTTTTTAATGTTACAGCAAGCGTGATTCTAACGTTGAAACGTCCGTTGCTCCAGAGACGGCGCCGCGACACCCTTGATGATACTCGGAGGCGACGGAGTGGTAGTGGCAGTGAGATCCGACCGCGCGACCGCAGACGGTCGATCGGGTCGAGTGCCGTACAGATCTTAACACGAAGCAATTCTACCAAGTGACGGACGGTCGATTCGATGGCATTCTTTTATTTAGATTTCCCACAGTGATGGCATAGCGACTACGAGCTGCGATGAGTGTTTTGTTTTCACTTGGTTTGACATCTGATCAGAACCCTCTGTTTCGCGCCTTTCAACCTCCATCTCTTTCCCATCTTATTTTTCTTTTCTCCTTCATATCTCCTTTTGTGTACATGGCTTTCAATATTCTTTTCTCCGCGCGCAGGGCTATTTTTGTGCCCGTGATTCAAAGCGGACGTTTGAGTTGGACTATTAGAACTGTGTTCGGGTCTGGAAAACGGGTGCAAATGGCGTTTCCCTTAGTCGACGTTGATGTCGATGACCTCTTTTGATTTTAAAACATGAAGTATTTATGGCATAACAGACCAAACCCACCACTATATGCACTTCACTTTCGGTAATGAACCACGTGCGCCCTAAGCGATACCCCTGCCTAATGTCTAGGGACACTAGCGTGATAGGGCAACTAGCCGACAAGCGGCCATAGACGCGCGCTTATCGGCATGGAAAAATGATGTAGCGAAGTTGCCTGTTTAGGCCTAGTGTTCCGTTCGGGGTCTTTGCGATACCCGCGTTCTTGCTGCTTTCTGGTCCATCGATTTGCAGGCGTGAATTTGCGCGCAGTTCTCTTGACCTTTGATACCCTCCGCTTTCTTTCCCCGCTCCCCACGTCCTTCTCTCTCCTTACGCTCTTTAATTAACTTTTCTTCTTTCGGGTACCTTCTGTTTAATTTGCGAGGGAGATTAATGACTTGACGGTTGTATACTTTGTCTTCTCCGATGCAGCGTCTTCCGTCAATGGGCCATTCGAGATAGCCTATTACCGTCGCTTTCACGCCTATGAACACAACGTACGAAGCGGACTGTGCTGGCGCTCGACTTCTAGCCGGCCCTGTGGCCTGGCATTAATATAATCAATTTAACCTGTTAAACACTCCCCTGGAGGGGTCTCGCCGACCATGGAGCGCAATATCGATATTTACGCCAGCAAGCTGGGCGACGAGAAGCTTGGTACGTCCGATATCTTGACAATCTCGGGAAATAAGTTGGGATAGGAGCTTGGGTTTGCCTGAGGGCAGCTTTACGGAGCTTTGTTGCCCTTGCTGACTATCTTCCAGATATCAAAATCCGGGCCAACGTCGCCGTCGAACTACGAGATAATATCGAGCCGCTATGCTCTGGTGCAAGCTATCCCATCTTCCTTTCAAAGCTATGGCCGGTGTTCAAGGGTATTCTGAAGGGCGAGCCGGTGTTCACAAACTTGTCGTTCGAGCAGGTGAGTCGCCTTGGAGATATCGTCGTGCTTTCCTGCGTTGCAGACGTACGTTGTGTGGTCGGAGCTTATATGTTGTGTAACCGATCAGAAACTACGCAATTGCGTTCTCGAGACTTTACACCGGTTACCAATGGCCTCTCCCGATGTCGAGCCCTACGCCGCGGATATGGTGGACTTCTTGATGGACCTCGTACGGATCGAGAATGAAGAGAATGCTGTCCTATGCATGAAGACTATTATGGATTTGGAACGGAATCAGGCGAAGGCAACGGCTGCCCGGGTACAGCCGTTCCTCGAGCTTATTCAAGAAATGTTCCAGACAATGGAACAAGTTGTTCGCGACACTTTCGACACACCTAGCCAGGCCACACCCTCCGGCATGCCTTCAACACCCGGTGCCACAGCTCAGAACTTTCAATCTCCCCGACCTAGTTCGCCCGCAACTTCAGTCTCAGACCTCGGTCCGTCTGATCAGCAAGGGAGTAACGTCTTGCTCAGGGGAATGCAGTCGTTTAAGGTTCTGGCAGAATGTCCGATCATCGTCGTCTCCATCTTCCAGACTCACCGGAATTCTGTATCGGCGAATGTGAAGCTCTTTGTGCCTCTGATAAAGAGCATCCTGCTTCTTCAAGCTAAACCACAGGAGAAAGCACACGCGGAGGCAGCTTCCCAGGGTATGATCTTCACCGGTGTATGCAAGGAGATCAAGAACAGATCGGCCTTTGGTGAATTCATCACGGCACAGGTGAAGACGATGAGCTTTTTGGCATATCTGCTGCGCATGTATGCCCATCAGCTACAAGATTTCCTTCCGACACTGCCTTCAGTGGTCGTCCGTCTTCTTCAAGACTGTCCCAGGGAGAAATCCAGTGCCAGGAAGGAGCTTCTTGTTGCAATTCGTCATATCATCAACTTTAACTACCGGAAGATTTTCCTGGAGAAGATTGACGAGCTTCTTGATGAAAGGACCCTAATCGGGGACGGCCTTACTGTATATGAGACGATGCGGCCACTCGCCTATAGCATGCTCGCAGACTTGATCCACCACGTACGGGACCATCTGACTCGTGATCAGATCCGGCGGACTGTCGAGGTGTACACTAAGAACCTCCATGATGATTTCCCAGGGACAAGCTTCCAAACAATGAGTGCCAAGTTGCTTTTGAATATGGCAGAAAAGATTTCCAAGCTTGATGATAAGCGAGAGGCTCGGTATTTCCTCATCATGATTCTCGATGCTATCGGCGACAAGTTTGCCTCTATGAACTACCAGTTTGACAATGCAGTGAAAGTGTCAAGAGCGTACAAAGAGAGCAAGAAAGACATTGAGCCTTCATCAGAGAGATACCTTGCAGACAAGGACCACCCACCTGACTGGGATGAAATTGACATCTTCTCGGCGTCACCGATCAAGACCTCGAACCCTCGCGATCGTGGAGGGGACCCCGTTTCGGATAATATCTTCCTCTTCAAAAACTTAATCAACGGGTTGAAGAATATCTTCCATCAGCTGAAGAACTGCAATCCAGACAATATCCAGATCGATCCGAACAGTGTCCCGATCAATTGGTCTGAAGTCTCTTACGGTTATAACGCAGAGGAAGTGCGGGTCATCAAGAAACTATTCCATGAGGGAGCTCGGGTTTTCAAGTATTACGGCGTAGACCAGCCACCGCCAGAAGCAAACTACTCTTCCCCCTTTGATTTTCTGGCAAGTCAGTATACTGCACCAATGTCACGAGAAGAAAAGGAACTTCTGGAGAGCTTTGGAACCGTATTCCACTGCATCGACACAGCCACATTCCACGAAGTCTTTCATTCTGAGATACCCTACCTCCATGAGCTTATGTTTGAACATGGCGCTCTATTGCATCTGCCCCAATTCTTCTTAGCAAGCGAGGCTACATCTCCAGCCTTTTCCGGAATGGTGCTCCAGTATCTCATGGATCGAATCGAGGAAGTGGGAACTTCTGACATGACGAAGGCCAAAATCTTGCTCAGGATGTTCAAGCTCTCTTTCATGGCAGTAACACTCTTTTCAGTTCAGAACGAGCAAGTGTTGCACCCTCATGTAACCAAGATTGTTACCAAATGTATAGAGCTTTCGGTGACTGCCGAGGAGCCTATGAACTACTTCCTTTTACTACGGTCACTGTTCCGCAGTATAGGTGGTGGTCGATTCGAGCTCCTGTACAAGGAAATCTTGCCCTTGCTGGAAATGCTTCTCGAGACGTTCAACAACTTGCTGAGCGCGGCTCGGAAACCCCAAGAGCGTGATCTCTACGTTGAACTCACCCTTACTGTCCCCGCTCGCCTTAGCCATCTCCTGCCACATCTGAGTTACCTCATGCGTCCTATCGTAGTAGCGCTGCGCGCAGACTCCGACCTCGTAGGACAGGGACTTCGAACCCTTGAGCTTTGCGTGGATAATCTCACTGCCGATTACCTGGATCCTATTATGGCTCCTATTATGGACGAGCTGATGACTGCGCTGTGGGACCACCTTCGGCCTCACCCGTATAACCACTTCCATGCGCATACAACCATGAGAATACTGGGCAAGCTCGGTGGCCGCAACAGGAAGTTCCTTAACCATCCTCCGGAACTTACCTTTGAACAATTCACCGATGACGCTCCTAGCTTTGATATCAAGCTTATTGGGCCCAGTGAGAAGCGTCCTTTCCCTATCGGTATCGGTATTGATTTGGCAATTGCGAAGTTAATGGAGACACCGAAGACGTCTGCCGCTAAGGCGTCTGATGGGTACTACAAACAGCAGGCATTCCGCATGATCTCATCTCAGCTGAAACTCTTTATCGGACCTGAAAATCTTCCAGAGGATTTGGCATCACTCCTTCGGCTGCACGCTAATGACCTCTTCGAGAACAAGACTACTGGCATGGCCGATATCTTGGACAAGTCGGAGCGATCAAGTTCTATTCCTAAGAAGTTGTCACAGGAGGTCTCATTGAAGAAAGTTCTAAAGGCTAGCGTTTTCGCTACCACCATTCCTGATCTGAAGCAAACAGCGACTAATTTTGTAGCTGATGTTTGCAAACATTTCGCAGTCGTTGAAGTTGGACGGGCCCTTGCTCAAGTCAGACATAACAGGAAACCGTTCGATGTTGCCAGTGGCGAAGGATCGGTGTACCTTGACTCCCGAGTCCTAGCGGAGGCCATCGTTGAGAGCCTATCCTCTGACAATGCCCGTGTTCGGGAAGGTGCGCAGGCAGCGATGCAGGTAATGAAAGACGCAGCCGGCGTCATCTTTGGCACCCCGGAGCGCATATCAAAGCTGCCGTTCTTCCAGCATCTTGGCCGTGTCTTCTGCCACAGCTGTCATAGTGAGGAGTGGTTTACCAAAGCGGGAGGCAGTCTTGGTATTCACCTCTTTGCGACGGATTTAGATCTGGGCGATTCTTGGCTCTTCGACAAACAAGCTGAATTTGTCCGGGCGTTGATGTATGTCATCAAGGACACGCCGGCCGACCTGCCCGCTAGTACAAGAATAAGGGCGCAAGATACCCTTGACTTGATCCTTCGAAGGTGCTGCAAGAATGTTTCCAAGGATGACCTGAAGAATGAAAAGAGCCGTCTCTATTCTTTGTGCGGATTTTTTGTCTATGAACTTTCACATATGAACAAATACGTTCGGGAAGCTTCTCGTCGCAGTTTCTCAACCATTGCTGAGGTCCTAGGGTGCCAAGTCCATGAGCTCATCTTCCCCGTGAAGGATCGTCTGTTGCAGTCTATCTTCAACAAACCGTTGCGAGCACTGCCTTTCCCCACTCAGATAGGTTTTATTGATGCTATCACTTTCTGCTTGAGCCTGCACAATAACATCGTGACGTTTAACGATCCATTAAACCGACTTATGCTGGAGTCCCTCGCCTTGGCAGATGCTGATGACGAGTCTTTGGCATCCAAGCCAAATGAGTTCAAGAATGCTGAGATGATTGTAAATCTGCGCGTGGCCTGTCTCCGTCTTTTATCGATGGCAATGAGCTTCTCGGAGTTTGCCAACACGCCCCAGAACACCAGCCGTGCTCGCATCATTTCAGTCTTCTTCAAGTCTCTCTACTCCCGGTCTCCTGACGTTATCGAGGCAGCAAACGCAGGT